TCTCCCGAGCAGCGGGTAGGGCCTCTGTCCAAATTCCTTCTCTTCCCGTCATGCATGGCGGTATCCACCGCCGCGCATGAAATCTTTCACCCCATTCTCTGACAAAGACACTGACCGGGCCCTTTCCCGAGTGGCGTGTAAGGTCATGTCTGAATCCCTCTTTACATGCACGGCAGTGCTTATTGCCGCGCATGTCTTTTCTTCTCTCTGTCACTCGTCATACACGATGATGCTTATCGCTATGGATGTCTCTCTTCTCTCCTGTCATGGACAACAGAACCCATCACTGTCCATGTTCTCTCTCTTTCTCTCTCTTGTCATGGATGGCAGAGCCTATTGCCGTCCATGTTCTTTCTCTTTCTCCCTCTCTTGTCATGGACAGCAAAGCCTATCGTCGTCCATGTTCTTTATTCTTCTCACTCTCCTATCATGGATGGCAGAGCTTATTGGTTAGATGCCTCGATCTCGCCCCTGGATCTAGATGATTTGGTGGCACGTGTTACCAGTTTCAAAGAAATCCAAGGACTTGAGACTGCTCCCTCAGGAACCTTATTAAGAAACATGGACAGGTATACCAACCCGTGAGAGAAGAATTTGATGTGAGGTGGGACACACCTCACCTAGGTCCGTGACTCACTGGGGCTAACTCGAACGGGCGCCCTCTTAGATCACAATAGAAAGCCCCTCAGTCCTACAACGGGTTCGAAATCACCTCCCTTGACCTGTACTTTCATGTTTTTGCAATCACACGCACATGGTTAATTTATAAGACAAATGGGTCAAGGGACCCCACCTTGTCTTTGAGCGAATACACACAGACGTGCACATTCAAAAGAAGAAAGGGAAGAATAATGAGATGAAGATCGAGGTGATAAAAGGAGAAAGAAGAAATATAATAGAGGAAAGAGGAGAGAAGAAAGAGAAATTTGACCAAGTGGGTAGACTGACACAGTGGCTAGACAAGTAGAGAAATTTGACCAAGTGGGTAGACTGACACAGTGGCTAGACAAGTATAGTGCCTAACTTGGCGTGGTAGCAAGGCGGGCATGGTGACTTAAACCGGCACGACGGCTCTGGCACAATGACTAATCTAACGTGGCAGCAAGACGAGCACTGTAACTCTAACCGACACGATTGCTAAACCACTCGATGACAAGACCGTTATGATAGTGCTAGAGTTAGCCTATCCCTTGATCAAAAGAGAGGAGGAGAGAGAGAAGGAGAAAAGAATGAAAGAAAAACAAAGAAGAAAGAGAGAGATTAGAAGAAAAGAGAAGAGAGGGAAGAGGAAAAAGAAAGGAAGAGAGAAAGAGAAGAGCAAAGAAAAGAGAGAAGAGAGAAGAAGGGAAAAGGAGAACATAATAGAGAGCAGAGGAAGAAAAGAAGGAACAATGAGAAAGAAGAGGAACAATGAAGAGAGGAGAAGGAAGGAGAAGAGAGAGAAGAAAGAAAGAGAGATGAAGAATAAGAAAAAAGAAGCATGGACGACGATGGGGTTCTTCCGTCCATGCAAGAAGAGAGAGGAAAGAGAAAGAAGTATGAAAGGCGATGGGGTTCCGCCGTCTATGACAGAAGAGAGAGAAAGGGGAAAGAAGCATGGACAGCGATGGGGTTCTACCATCATGATAGAGGAGAGAAAGAGGACAGGAGGGAAGAAACATGGACGGCGATGGGTTCCGCCATCCATGACAGAGGAGAGAAACAGGAGAGAGAAAAGAATGGACACACGCGGCTTTAGGCATCATCGTGTGTGTCAAAAGAGACTCAAATACGACCCGACCCGCCACTTGGGAAAGGGCCCGATTCTGTGCCTTTGTCAGAGGAGAAGAGAAGAAACGTCACACGCAGCGATGAGGAACGCCGTGCGCAACATGGGAAAGAGAAACTTATACAGAGGCCCGATCCAACACTCGAGTTAAGGCCCAGCTCACTAGATCGATTCCAGAAGATAAGAAAAAAAGGGGAATGTCATGCACGACTACGGGTAACGTCGTGCATGACTGGGAGAGAGAAAAGACAAAATAGAGTGAGAATAGGAAAGAAGAGAGAGATAAGAAAGGAAGTAAAGAGAAGAAAGAAAAGTAAAGAGAGAGAAAGAGCGAGAGTTTAGGAAAGAGAGAGAAGAAAGGAAAATAGAGAGAGAAAGAAAGAGATTAAAAAAGAGAGAAGAAAGGAAAGTAAAGTGAGAAAGAAAGAGAGGAAGAGGGACACGGACGGCGCTGCCACTGCCGTGCATGTCAGGAGAGAGAGAAAGAGGCAAAAGAAGCATGCACGGCGCTGCCACTGCCGTGCATCTTGAGAGTGAGCAGAGAGAGACAAAGAGTAGAGAAAGAGAACAAAGAGAAAGAGAGCAAAGAGAGAAAGAAGCAGACGGGAAAAAATAAGGAAAAAGAAGAGAGAAAGAAGGAGAGGCAGAAAGAGAAGCACGCACGGCATTGCCACTCTCGTGCATGTCAAGAGAGAGAAAGGGAGAGAGAGAAAGATAGACATGCATAACTGTGCATGTCAACAGAGAAGAAGAGAGGGAAGAAGAGAGAGAGAAGAAGAAGAAAGAGAAAGAAAGAAGAAAAGAAGAAGAAAGAGAAAGAACGAAGAAAAGAAGAGAGGAAGAAAGAAGAGAAAAAGAAAGAAAATAAGAGGAGAGAGAATTACCTTGACCTAGGGGTATCCGACCTGTTCTTCTCTCTCCACTCTCTCTCTCCTATACGTGGCCCTCAACCTCAAAGCTTAACTCTAATTTTTATTAATCCCATTGAAGTTCCTTTACAATGAGACATAACATGTATTAATAGAGTTGGGCTCAAAACATGGGTGGATGCCCAAAACATATCCTAATTGCTAAAAAATTCAATTTATTTGAATTAAAATAAAATCTAAAAATGGGTGTAAAATTACAGTTTTGCCCCTGCCCAACAATACACAAAATTCTAAAACAGTCCCTGTTGCATCCATGTGTATTTTTCTCTTCTCTTTCTCTCCTCTCTTCACTTTTCTTCTCTCGTTTGACCAGAGGACAGTTAAGCCTTGCGCTGCCAAGTTAGTCTTGTCGTCGAGCAGTTTAGCCGCAGCGTCAATCTAAGTCACCGTGTCCATCTAGCTGCTACGTCAAGCTAATCATGGAGCCAGATTAGACAGTGTGTTGGTTTTGTCGTTGAGTAATTTAACTGTCATGCCGATTAGAGTCACCGTGCCCGTCTAGCTACCACGCCAAATCAGCCATCCCACTAGTCTTGCCCCTATGTCAGTCTAGCTGCTTGGTCAAATTTCTTCTCTCTTATTCATCTCTTTTCTCCTCTTCTCTTCCCTTATTCTATTTCTTCCTACTGTCTTTCTCTCTCTTAACCATATTAACCTCCATTCATGTTTAGAACACACATTTCATCTTTAAAGTACTAGTTGACAGCCATACCAATCTTTAAAGCCATTTCTTTAAAGTACTGGTTGAAAGCCTTACCAATCTTTTGAGCCATTTCTTTACAGTACTGATTGAAAGCCATACCAGTCTTTAGAGTCATTTCTTTAAAGTACTGGTTGAAAACCATACCAGTCTTTAGAGCCATTTCTTTAAAGTACTAATTGAAAACCGTACCAGTCTTTAGAGCCATTTCTTTAAAGTACTGTGGTTGAAAGCCATACCAGTCTTTAGAGCCATTTCTTTAAAGTGCTGGTTGCAAGTCATACCAATCTTTAAAGCCATTTTTTTAAAGAGCTAGTTGAAAGTCATACCAGTCTTTAAAGTTCCTTCCTTGGAGTACTGGGTGAAAAGCAGACTAGCCTCTAAGAGTTTATTTTTCTCCTCTTCGAGAAATTAGTTGAAAGTCATACTAATCTTTCATTTTGTAATATCCCCCCCCCCCCTTTCCTCTCATCTTTATTCCACTCTCTTTTCTTCGTCTGGAAGATCAGTGAACATCAGACTGGTCTCCATCTCTTTATTCTACCCCTCGAATGTACGCTCGTGTGCATTCACTTAAAGGCAAAGTGAAGTCCTCTGACCCACTTGTCTTGTATATTAACATATGCGTGTGCGATTATAGCAACAAGAGAGAATGGGTCAATGGAAGCGATTTCGAACCAGCCATAGGCTTGGGGGGCTTTCTATGGTGATCTAAGAGACGCCTACGCGTGTCAACCTAAGTGCATCATGAACCCAGGTGCGGTGTGTCCCGCCTCACACCCTAATTCCTCTCTCACCGGTTGGTGTACTTGTCTTTGTTTTATACACAAGGTTCCCAAGAGTGCAATCTCAGGTCCTAGGTTCTCTTTGAAACCCGAGACATGTCCCACCAAGTCAACCCGATCCAACGGCGAGATCGAGGCATCTAACCATGTAGCCACAGGATAGTTTATAAATTCAACAAAATAGAGGTACATTTCCAGAAAAGCTTATCAAAGTCTTTTTTACAGTTAAAGAAGATTTCATTTCCCACAAAATTGATTTACACATATAAATCCATCCAAGTACAAATTTGAGCCTATTTACATCAAAATAGACAGTAGATTCTAGCCTGATAACCTCTATAGTTTAAAACCAACTCAGCAACTACTCTGGCAAGTGCCTCAGCCTCCTGATATGCCTCACGAAAAAGATGGTTAAAAAGTAAGTGTCATATCTAAGTCAAATATTTAGCACCAATGGACCATTAATGCATCAGTATCAACATTACACACTCAGTATCATAAAACTTCTCAAAACACACATTTCAGCGTTCAATCATCAAGAAAGATCCAAACCTAGATTGATTTTCCGCACAAAAGAACACATATACAAACCAATAGCAGGGCTATATATAAATCCAAATACACAGATCAATATGCAGAAAAAAGAGTCTACATCCAATTAAATTTCAGCACAAATGATCAGGTGTACAAATCAAGAAGAATTTTATGCAGATAGAAGCATGAAAAATCACAAAAATATTGACAATGTACATCAATTTTCTCTGAAACAAAATAGAGAGAAAGAGATTGAGACGAACAGAGGGAGAAAGAGGGAATACCTTTCCTGGCCAGCAGTGTCCCAGATCTGAGCTTTCACAGTCTTGTGTTGAATGACTAAGGTTCTCGTTTGAAACTCCACGCCAATGGTGGCCTTTGAATCGAGGCTGAACTCGTTCCGAGCAAATCTGGCCAGGATCTGAGACTTGCCCACGGCTGAATCACCAATAAGAACCACCTTGAACACGTAGTCGATCTTCTGGCTAGGATCGCTCGCCATAGTTACACACTACCGAGATTCTCTCTCACTAGCCTCCTTCTCTCTCTAGAATCTCCCCCTCTTCCTCTCTTTATGACACAGGAGATAGTGCGGAGATATATCTCGGTTGTTGTACCCCAAACCCAAGGAGAGAGAATGCAAGAGACTGCAAAGCCCAGATCTCGACTATCTCTCTCTACCCGTCTCTCTCAGCCTCGAATCCAAGTACTCTGCGGAGTAGGTATTTATATAGAGTTGGACGAAAGTGACGAAATCTCTGCTCATCGATCCTGATCCGTGTCTCTCTCATTATTCCGACCAAAGTCCCACCTGTGTTTTAGTTGCATTTTTTTACTGTCCCCTCTCCATCCAGCTCATACGCATTATCTTTAAGTAGAGCGAATACAGTGTGTTACCGCGGACGTATTCTGCAAATCTTCTCCCTCTAGCCTGAGTGTCGAATTTAAAATTTTGTCACCCACTTTAGAATCACTTTCAATGAAAGAAAATTGGATTTTTAGTTTCTAAACACTTAAATCATCATCATCCAAGTTTTATCCAACTATTTAAAGTCGGTCATATGAATCTATCAAGGGTCATACTCTCATTAACTATGTGACCTATATTTTCTCACTAATTCTATTTAAGTCATTTTGGGTCGTCCCCATGTCTTTTAGAGTCTTACACTTAAACCAAATCGCATCTTTTAACCGGTATTGTATTAAGCCTATGTAAAATTAGATGGTATACCCAATGTTGTCAGATTTGCTTTGGAATCTTCTTCTGTTTGGTCAGAAAACTGAATCAAATTAGTTCTTCGGCCAATTCGGAAGAAGACTTCATATTTTTTTTTAAAAAAGTAATATTAAGAAAGTATATATTTATATGTAAAAATATATAAAAATGATAAAAATTTTAAAATAAAAAATCAGTAAAAAAACACTTCTATGCTTCGGCCGACAAGGCCGAAGCTTTAATTGAAGAAGTCGAATCACACCGAAGAGGGCCAAAGCACAACATTGCCTTTTTAAAAGACAATCTTGTGCCTCGGCCAAAGAGGCCAAATCAAACTGAAGTGGATCGAAGGGGCACATAGCAAGCCAAAGCAGATGCATTGGAGCTTTGCTTTGCTTCGGTCTAGGCTGAAAGTCTAAAGACTTTGGCCTTTTTAGCCGAAGCGAAGCGAATATGATAACATTAAATATACCTAAAATATTTGCGACTCCCTGAAAATTAGATAGTCTATCAAAAAGCACTATTATTATTTTTCTATAGGTGTGGAATATTTGTTATTTGAGATTTATTTAGCTAGTCATGGAGTTTTATCCCCCAATTGTTGGGTCCTAGAATTGCTCCCGAAGATGGAGTTACCTGAAAAGGGGGGAATCTTTGACAATGCTATAATATTTGTCAAAAATATTTCCTACTCCCTTGAGAGTATACTATCTATCCACCCCTTCGGGCAAAATATATGCTTGGGATACTTTTTAGATCTTAGTTTTTGGACATATAAACTTGACAACCCATAGACTAATATCCGCCAAAATAAACTCAAAATAAATAATTTATGTACTAGAAAAAATTAATGTGAGGATTGAATAGAGACCTGTCTCATTTTTAAGAAAAAAATTTATACAAGTGCGAGGCTCTAAGCAATCAAACTAGGGCACACTTCAAAATTTTCACTAGAAGAGGTTATTTTGATGCCCAAATAACTTCAAAATGATCTCTCGACCTCAAGATGAATGAACATGAGAAAAAAAAATAGATTTCAAGTTTTGGAAAAAGTGCATCGTGTAATGCATTTCTGAACTATCAATTTTCAAGATTTTCAAGTTTTCATATAGATGCTTGATCTATACTATTTTTGAAGTTTTAATCTTTATAATTAGAGATGAAAATATATTTTAAAGCTATCACAAAGATTTCCAGTATTGAAACCACATTTCTCGGCATTATTTGAAGGTGTATTTTACTTTGATTGTTTCACAGCTCTATACAAACCGTACCCAATTTTTTAAGGGTTACATCTAAATCGCAAAAATTAAATTTCGAAGTTTTTAATAAGTTTTTCTCCTGAAGATAATCATCTAGTAAAATTTCTCTGTGGTTTTCAAAATTCTAGATTAAATAATTCCTCCTAAATAGGTGTTTTGAGCAAGGGATTAGAATGATCTCACATGAGCATAGCACTCACGCTCATAGTATTTTGGCTTTAGTTTTCCGCTCTTTGTCCTCACTTGCTTTATTTTTATTTTTGAAAAATTAATTTTATTTTAAAAAATTATGCCGATACCTTTATACTTCTGCAGTATTATTGTATTATCCAATTTTTTTGATATTTTATGTAGAGGTCCTCTTGTATTGTGTATTTAATTATTATTTTTAAAAAATTTGCGCCCCAATTCGATGTTAGCTGACTGCTTTTTTATTTTGATTCTTTTATTTTTTTTGGTCTATAGGGTTGTTAGTTGGCTTGGAGCTGTTAGGAGTCGATCCAATGAAACAAATATTAGATAGATATTTAGTGAGTGATCGGTTGTTTGGAACATCAGACTGCATGGCTTCATAAATTTGGAACATCAGACTGCATGGCCTCATAAAATTTTAAATAGGGCTAGTGATCAAATGTTCCAAATATTGGATCTCATAAAGTTTTACGTAGGCCGATCAAATGTTCCAAATGTTGGACCGCTCATTGGACAAGGAGTCCAATGTTATATAAATCAGACCACTTGCAGTCTAGTGTCACAGATAGCGGACCACTCAAAAATATATAAAATTTTAAAGTCTAGAGCCGTCCAATATTGGCGATAGTGGACAATGCCAAAGTGAATTTTAGGACAGTCATATGTTCAGAACATCAGACCAACCATAATACACTCCTAACCCATTGGATAGCCCTATCCACTAAAAAAGTGAAAAAGCCAAAATTTAAAAATGGTCCGATCTTACAAACTCAAACCGGCAGACAAAATTTAAAAAAAATCAAAAATAGGAAAGAGTAGGACTACTGCATAAAATAAAATAAAAATTGGACCGACCATAATACTGCAAAAGTGTTACAGTAAGGGGGTAAATTTTCTTGTATTTTTCTCTTCTAGGTCACTCTATTGATAGATTCTTTACATGTAAATTGAGGCAGTCAACTACCTTGCAACTACATCTGGACCATGGTTAGCAAGTTGAGGAATAACGATACGACGGCAAACCTAAGTACCACTGGTAAATCGGTTTTGATGGAATCTTTGTAATGTCATGCTTTTTGAAGCATTGCTTTAATAAAAGTTTATAAGATTTATCAAAAAAAAAAATACTAAATCGGTTTTGCTCAAAAAAAAGCAAGACACAAAAAATTGGGGCAAAAATATGGGTAGCCAAAAATTATGTAATTTGGAGTTGGCTAAAAAAAAATAAAAAAATTGAATATATAATGATAATATGTGATAAAATTATGATATGCAATTATTACAAAGATACATTAAAATCATTGAACAACAATTGTCCTTTCTGGATATTATTTAGGATTATACTTGACAAAAATTCTGTCCAAATTGTTTTAATACAACATAATGCTTCTTTTACCGTCATGACACAAACAAATAACGATTTTATTCGGAGGATCCAATAAAACAATAACAACAATACTAAGCATAATAATTACATTAAAAATTGTAACCCAAGGTGTAGGATTTTTGTTAGGAAAAGAGATTATGCGGTATTATGGTATTAACAAAAAAAAAAGCACGTAGAAATAACAAAAAACATAAAACATAGTAAAAATAGCAATTAACAAAAAACATAAAACATATTAAATGTGTAACACAGGTAAATCTAATTTGTTTTGGTGCATACATCAATTAAATAGCAAAAGTTTCAGAAATGGAGAAATTTCAAGCTTTGTACGTAGAAAGCAAGTAAAAACAGCTTGCTTGTACTGAACAATCTTTAGTTTTAATTAAACATCTCCCTCTCTCTCCCTCTTTGTAACGGTGCTTTTGATTTAGATCAAAAGAATATTTTTCATGGAGTTATTCGTCCAAATTTTTCATTGAGTTATTTGTCCTCTAATTGTACCTATGATTTTGAGATATGTAGTTGTTTTGAGACAATATATATTTTTTAGGAACACATTGGCTTTTTAATTGGATGGGTCTATGACCTAGGTTGTATGAAAACATAATAAAGCCTCATCTCAAATCCTCATCCGGAAATTACTTTCAGCGAAGAAAATCTTCACAATGGCTTTAAAATTAATTTCCAACACCAACAATAAATTTTGAAACTAAAAACATGGTATAGACCTTACAAATATGTGAACACTTATTTTTAGAGCGAAATAGGCGTTTTAGATAATTTGTTATAATATACACTATTTTTGGTGCTTGAAATCTTTTTTTGTTCACAACCGAAATGTTCAAGTTGAGATGATCGATGTAAAGGTTTTTTAATGCTTGAATGGTAATTTTGGACGAGTTATGAGGTGAGGCTTTACTTACTAGGGTTGTAGCCCTATCAAACCATTTTCCCTTTTAAGGGAATATATTGGTGAAATGTTTTACAAAACTTTTTTATTATATTAAGATTCCTAATTTAATCCCCATTTTAATATGTATATCTCATAAACAATTTTTGAAAGATGTCAAATCACTTCCAAATTTGTGTTATTATATTTATACCTGATTTTTCACCATCATAATAATTTTTTAAAAAATAAAACGAAAATATTTATTTTCAATTTTTCAAAAAACCATTTGAGACTGAATTTGGTTTTTCAAACACCGAATCTCTCTTTATCTCTAAATAATAAAAGAAAACTATGGTAAAAATTAATGGAAAGAAATTACTGGTGTATCAAAAGAAATGCAACATTCTTGCTTATAAACACCGTGCTGCGGAGTGGGGATTTTAACTGTGGACAGGCGAGACCTCAGTAACGCCATTATTGACTTTGAGAGAGAGAGATGGGCTGCTGCAATTATTTCAGTCTCTCTCTATAGTATAAAGGGCTTTTGAGAACTGCAACCGGACATGGGTTGGAGGTAACAAGCAGGGTTGTGTTTGATAGGTATCGTTGTTTTTATATGGGTTACATCTGCAGAAATAACAGAGGTTCGCTTCTAACCCAACTCTCTCTCTCTATCGCCTCTCTCTTTAACCCAACTCTTTCTCTCCCTCTATTACCTCTGTTTCTCTCTCATGTGAAAAATTTTGAACATTTCCATTTTTGAAAAACTGAATGTGAAAATTTTGAACATTTTGATTTTTGAAAAACTGAATTCAGTTTCATTTTGATATTTGAAAAACCAAAAATGAGTATTTTCATTGTTTTTATTTAAAAAATAT